AAAGTTCCTTTTATTTTGGATAGTAACCGGCACAACTGGGGAATCCTGAATCTGAAAGTTCTGGGTTTCCTTGCAATAAGTAAAAAAACTACAAATCCACCCCCTGCACCCATCATCGCATCACATGCCCCAATCACCATCCGTCCCAACTTGAGACTTCCCCTCACTTAGGTGCAAAACAACTTGACCTTGAATCAGAAAAAGAATGTTATTATGTCTAACTACATACACTCCAAGAATTTCCCCCCTCCCACTTTCCCAGGCTCAAATGTGGCAGCGTGGGAGCATCTGGTCTCAATATGGCTTCCAAAGCTGACACCTCGGCTTACAACAGTTCATTTAGTGACCGTTCAAAGTTACGCCAACACTGAAAAATGTGACATGGCCATTTTTCACACTTATGACCATTGCAGCGTCCCTGTGATCACATGATCAAAATTTGGACACTTGGCAACTGACTCATATTTATGATGGTTGCAGTGTCCCAGGGGCCACGTGGTCCCTTTTTGTGACCTTCTGACCAGCAAAGTCTATGGAGAAGCCAGATTCGCTTAACAACCAGGTGACTAACTTATCAACTGCAGTGATTCACTTAAGGACCATGGCGAGAAAGATTGTAAAAAACCCGGTCATAAGTCACATTTTTTTAGTGCCATTGTAACTTCAAATGGTCACTAAATGAACTGTTGTAAGTTGCGGACTGATTGTAAACTCGGACAGCAGTGAGGTGGTGGAGCAGCTGGAGTTATTTCCCAGCCTGCACATGCGCAAGCTGCCAAAAAGAAAAGAACAATTATGAACTTAAGGGTTGACATGGGAGTAAGGCCACAGGTGGACAGTGAATAGCCTCTCCCACAGGGATTAAAAGAGGAGCAAATGGGGAAGGGGCTCTTTCAGGAAACAACTTGTTCATTGCAGCAGTGTGAAGATCCCTCTGTGCATCTCAGAGACACTGTGCTGAGTCCTTCCTTGTCAGCACTGTGCTTGAAAATATTAACTTGGCAGCTCTCCAAGCTAGATAAGGTCTGTGCTCCTAATCACACACTTGAAAGGGTGTTGGCCAGGCCTTTGGCGGAAGGTGAATACAAGAAATTCACCTTCGTTTCATAAAAGGGGTTTTGCCCGGACAAAAAGTCTGCTTAGTGCATTTTGGGGAAGCCTTAGGTTAGAACATCATTCATGTTTTCTTTAATAGGTGACTGAACAGCAGGTGCCAGCTGCAGACTCCTTCCCAAGTGATGGACCGGAGGAGGAGAGGAACAGAAGGAACAAGAGAATTTGTGTTGGAAAAGTAGAGGCAGAAGGTCATTCAGTGCAGGAGGAGAAAAGCGGTAACAGAACCACAGAAGGTCTGGACCTTGAGGATTTCAGAGGAACCGAAGAAGAGAGGAACAATGACAAACAGCTGGAGGAGAACGTTGGACCAGGAGAGAGAGAAGATGGGGTGGACAAGAGAAGATCTGAGCAGAACATTGAGGTCAAGACAGAGAAGGAGTGGGAAGGCGAGAGAGAGATGGACAGAGAATGGACTGGTGAAGAAATGCCTCAGCTGGGAAAAGAGATGGAAGGAGAAGAAAGGATAGAACGTGAGTCTGGACTTGGGACACCATTTGAGATCAAGCTGGAAGGTGACTCTGAAGAAGAAGAAGAAGAAAGGCCAAGAGGCCAAGATGGAGTTGAAAAAAAGACCAAGAGATGCAGAAGCAAAAGAGGTGATCGAAATGTAGAATTTCTCAGGGGATCCCGGAAAAGGAAAAACGAGGATGTGGACAAGACTTTGAAGAAGAAGAAAAAGAAGAAGGAGGAAGGAAACTGTGGGAGAAGATCAAAAGCCGAGGGGGACAAGTGGAGATGGTACGTTTCTTGTTTGAGTGATTTGTGATTTTGATGGCGAAAGTTTTTGATCTTAAATCTCTGGTATTGAAGTCCCCCCCACCTGATTTTATACAAGTAGAACAGAATAGAACAGAACAGAATAGAGCTGGGAGGGACCTTGGAGGTCTTCTAGTCCAGCCCCCTGCTCAAGCAGGAGGCCCTATACTATTTCAGATAAGTGTCCAGACTCTTCTTAAAAACCTCCAGTGATGGAGCACCCACAACTTCTGGTGGCAAGCTGTTCCACTGGTTAATTGTTCTCACTGTTAGAAAGATTCTCCTTAATTCCAGGTTGCTTCTCTCCTTGATTAGTTTCCAACCATTGTTTCTTGTCCTGGCCTCTGGTGCTTTGGATAATAATTTAACCCTTCCTTCCTTCCTTCCTTCCTTCCTTCCTTCCTTCCTTCCTCCCCCCTCCCTCTTTCTCTTTCCAGCTAGTGCTAATACTGGAATTATTTATTGGGAGGATAATTACGGGGTGAAAATGACCTTTGTTAATCGGTTTCTCCCCACCAAGCTGAGGTCTCTCACAACGGCAAGAGAGGAGCAGGCCGTAAGGCATATTTCTTAAATCTTTCATGTAGGCATGAAATTATGGAGATGATTTGACCACTAAGTGTCTTCCTGTTCAATTAAGTGGACTTCCTGATCAGAACTGTTTGGTTCTGGTGGTATAACCAATTTTGATAGGACAGCCAATTCTGTCTTGCTACTCAATGTCCTTTCAAATGAGAAATTAGTTGTTCTACTGGTTTTCCTCCAAGGAACATAAATGGAGAGTTAGCCCAGAAATCATTCCTTAGAGCACAACAAGTAGAGCAACTAATTCCTAATATGAAAGGACATCGTTTTTTCCAAACTTGAATTGGAAGGGACCTAATTCTGTGTGTCATTCTATCAGGCAGGTTTTTTTTTTTTTTTGCTTAAAAGTAAACTTACTTGATCCCTTCAGCATCTCAAAATTTTTAATTTTCAACCTCTTGATAATTTCTTTTGAGCTTTTTAAAGTAGAACGCTAGAAACCCAACATACCTTTTTGGAAGGTGTGCCTAGCTGATAAACAATAGAGGAGAACTATTGTTTAATATGGGAATCAGTACTTTATTTTTTTAAATCAGTACTTTATTTTTTTTACATTTTTTTTAAATGACTGAAATCCTTTACTTTTAAATCTTCGGAAAGGTATTCAGTATCACAAAGTCCTTTTGATTTTGAATTCCTTCATTTCTTCTTCACTTAAACCCTCCTAACCTGGAACATAAAAGGCCCATCATTTTGAGCTCCAAATTTATACTTAGAGAAGATAGTCAAGATCTTGTTGATGACCCAAGCTCTGTAAAGGACCTTGGAA